CCTGGGTTCATGATATTAGTGAAGTAGGCATCACTCTTCCCCGCTGGTGTATTCACTTTTTACTGGTGCTCACTGTTCTTCATATGCAATAAATAATAATAGCACTTGCTGGAATAAAATTCACTTTTTTTTCTTATGCTGGTGTCCAGTTGCCAATTCTGGCTAGATTTATCATAGAAAGCTTTTTTTATTAGTGATTTCTTGTTCATTTGTCTTTTTGATCCCACCTACCTTTTCTATTTCTCTCTCTTATTGCCACACGTATGCTTGTGAAGTTTCGATTTTTACTATTTTATTCACACTCGATCCTCGACGCCTCATTTTCCCTTCTTTCCGCTTCTGCTATTATTTTCTCTCCGTCTGTCCATTCGCGTCACTGTTCTATCTAAACTGTGAGGCTATTTCTGGGTCAACCATTGCGGTTCCTGAAATTTTCACGGTACTTATTCCCTAACCCTCAACACTCAACAATCATACATATGTGGTGGTGTTGCACCTGGAATCGCTCGAGAAACCTCCAATTCGCAAAATTTCACTCGAAGCGGGTGATCCGTATCTGCTGAAACAGCGAAATTTGCAAAAACTTCAAAAATTTCCGAAACTCGCGAATTTTTAGGTATTTCCAAATTTTCGCCCTCCCATTTTTTTAGAAACAGTTCATGCCACTTCGGTAATTACGCCCTCTCTGGTGCTACTTTATAGTTCGATAGACGGACGGTTATTGTATAGAAGGTGAGATGAGCCAATGTGGAAGGTTACTCAATAGGGGGAGGGTTGCTTTGGCTCTCTGAGGGAGGGGAGTTGCAATGAACTGGAGCGGTATAAGCAGTGCTTCCTAGAATGGTAGGGAGAGAATGCGAAATACCGCGAACTTCCGAGAAGCTGTTATTGTAGAATTTATTTTGCTTATTGTAGTGCATTACTCCTCCGTAAAATTGTATCCCATGAGGTGAAATACTCGACTTGTAGAGCAACAAAACCTGCAAGTTGTAAGCTAGCTAGCTAACGGTCGTATAACCAGAGTCAACCCTGCGTTGCGCAGTTCGCAACGGCACGTTGAGAGATCCTCAACGCACGCTGTATGGGCGGAGACGCAGACGGCTCGAGCATGCGAGTGTGAATGTTAACGTGGCCGTTGAGAACTGCGCAACGCAGGGTTGACTCTGCGTGCATGGTGTGAAGCATGGGAGGGTAGGGCTGTCACCTGGCCGTTCCACATTTTTCAGAATTGCGCGCCCTCCCTCTCTTCGAGGCTTCTGCGATCGCACAACCACTACCACCAATTGAAGCTCAGGAGCCTCCCCAACCCCATCGCCGCCTACCTACCCCTGACCGGCCTCTCGGCCATCACGGACTGTATTCTCTAGTATTTGATTTGAGGCGTCCAGTCACCATCCCAGCTCGCCTACTTGCTACTCGCAATCCGCTGCTCCTAAAAAAGGCTTTAGAGCGGAGCGAAGGGTATATACATATTACGGCATCGCACCGTCTAGCACATCCCCCAACAATACTAACCACTCCAACCACCAGCCTTACATGCGACCCCCTACCCAAAATCAATCACCACAAATCGACTCCCTCGTTCGACTAATGCAACGCACTGATTAACCCTGGGAGGAGGGTCGCATAGGCTATTGCATTTGCTTACCTGTTCCCCAGATCCCAGGTACGAAGTATGTAAGTTATAATCAAGGACGTCTTCCTTATGCCATGCTTCACCTATGGATTTCTCACTTTCGCTTCTATCCGTTCGTCCCACTTTTTCTATATCTCTGAGATTCCATCAATAGTCACTCTTTGGTAAGAACTCTCATGCACATGCTACACTTAGGGGAACATTCAATAAACGAAAGTGAACTACGAACATTTTATGGTACGCCTGATTGATACGGTAGCAGAGCACACTTTTATCCCTCATTTTTGCTGTCTAAAGTGCTTTAAAAGTTCAAGAGCACGCAAACATTGTGCATTATCATGTTATTACCAGATAAGAAATTTGTTTCAATTGATTCACATGCGCTATATTGCACTCATAGATTTTACAGCCATCATAGTGGAGTCATGAGAGTCCCAATGAAAAAGAGCCCTCCCGATGAGCCTCCTTTACTTCTTCTCCCAACATTAGCCCCTCGCAGTCGCAGGGACCGCAGTCTTGGTCACTCGTCGCCACTTTAATCTGCCCTTTCGATGAGCATTTGATGAAGACCCTCAAAATAAATCCTTATGGGGAGGGGTCTCATGACTAGGTTCGTGGGTACCGGAATTGAGGGTTTGCGAGCTGACACATCCCAGATTCCTCCACTCCCGAACGAGTCTACTTACAACTCATAACGACTTTCCTTCTTTGCCCCAGAATAAATATTTTCCTATTTCCCGAAAGGGGGAATGGGCGTGTTTGTCGCAATATTCCTCAACTGTTCTCAAAAACCTTTTGAAGCCTCACTTCATAACCTCACTGACAATCCATGGTTGCGAAGGGTCCTGATTCAAACCATCCAAAATAAAGTAGAGTAAGATACCGAGAGCTAAGCAGGCTAACCATTGTTCCAATATCAGATGAACGTCAGTCGTTTTCCCATCATACAATATTGGGTCAAAAATTAGCTGGAAAAACGACATGGAATCTATGGTCCGTTCCGAACTGCAGACATTCTCACAGAAGGTTAAGCGTGGTGCCCAACAACCAAAAATGCGCTTCTGGGTCGTAATTAGCACAAAAGGTTGAAATAAGCTGTAAGATGATAGGCAGAAACGAAAGAGCATAGCGGTGAGCGAAACACAGACACCTCAACAGTGGGCGTGCCTGATAGGTAGATAGCCATAATTATTAGTTCTATGTAAGTCCCT